TGCTGGACAACACACAAAGGCTCAGGCATTTTAAGACTCCCAGTGAAGGTTCAGCTGGTGAGGAACTATTCAGGCTTTCCTTGGTGGCATGTCTGCATGTCCTTTGTGCTCGAGAATTCAGAGGTGCAGGCGTCGGGACTGTGATTTCAGCAGCGCAGGTTGTAGTAAGAGCTGGTGTATCCTAATAGGATGCTGAAAGGTAATTATGGAGGTGTGTGATTGGGCTCTGCGTGCAGCTGGGGAAGTATGCTGACACCCAGGAGCACAGCCCCTCATGAAAAAGGGTGTAAAGCATCGTAGGGCTCTGTCCTTATTCTGCTTTTATTTCATCCTGCACATGTTTCAGCTCAGATGGTTGGAAAGGATGAACGAGGGCTTATTTGTGAGCGCTTACTTTCCATATAATCCTTAATGTGTGGAAATCTAAATCTACAAGGATTGATTTTAATTTCCTCCAAAAAGTTGCTCCTGGCAGAATCTGATAAAGCCGTTTTTAGTCTAATTCTTCCCAGCCCTGCCCTTGGTGAGCTATTGGAGCATACCTATTGTTGGGAATTCGTTTGGTGATCACCGCAGCTTGCATTCATTCTCTCAAATACCTCCCAAATCGTCGGGAGGGCCTGGAAAAGTGGTCTGACATGATTTTCTGAAACTTTTCACTTTTAGGGGAGAATGTCCCCAGGTCCTTGCTGGTGGTTTGCCTTTCTGCCTCGTGTTGAGCTGCCCATTCGGTGCAGAAGGTTAACGAGAAGCAGAGCTGCTCCATAGCTCTTGACTGCTCTTTCTTTTCACCAAGATTCCCTTATTTGTGCCCAGGGTTGTTGAGTCCTTTCGGTGCCAGACCCACCTCATTCCCAGCCCTCAGCCTGGCAGCGGCACAGCCGTGACACAAGCTCCCGGGGCAGAAGAGCAGGTCACGGTCTTCTGCAGGAGGGTCAGACCCTGGGCCCAGCCAGCCAGAAAGCTTGTACACATTTTTAACAACTTTTGGGGTACTTATTCTGGTTTTTACCTGCTACGAGCTCGGTGAATCAAGTAACACCCTTCCTGTGTTAGAGAGGTCTTAATGAACGAAGTGCACCCTCACCATCTAGAATGTCAGAGCGAGAGTTAAAGTAATTTGCACATACTTGGTAAAACAGAATGATCTTCGTCATTCCTGAACTCTGAAACAGAAAACAAATTTCTGTGGAAACAAAAACACAAGCTTGCCGCTGCGCTGGAGCAGAGCGATGCATTGCAGGAGAGATTTAGCATCGTGTTCTGACCTTTCTGGAAACAGTTGATAGGGAAATATTTTTGTCCTACTTATTTAAACCTTTTTTTCTTGCATTTAGTTAAACTAGGCAGTATATTTACTTGAAAAAATAAAATCAGCAGCATGCCAATCCCCAGTACTTGGCACATTAACAGGACTAATCATGCGATAAACGTAATACCCTCGAATCTGTGCTCAAATGCTTTGATCCTGATGCTATTAGGAAAGGCTTTTTGTTCTTATTCTCTATGTAAAATACCAGGTGTGGCTGTGATAGTTTTAGGAGATAATAAAGATAATAACAAGAGGAAGGTTTACTAGGGTCTTTAGGGTAATGGCTGTAGCTGACTTTTAAAATAGTACTTTTCTACTGTTTTATGTCCCACACTCATCTTGAGGTCTTTTTTTTAAGAAACACCATGATGTGTTGTTTTCACACCATCCTCCGTGCCTGGCTATCCCCCAAAGTTCACCCAGAGGTGCTGTTTGTGGCCATGCCTCTACCACAGGCTGGAAACAGCATTTCAGAGAGACATTTTCAAGCACTTCAGGGGAAGAAGAGTCAGGTTGACTATGGGCTTGCCCAAGTGCATGTAATTCTTGGCTCTAGGAAGCTAGTGAGTGAACAATGTCAATATGAGGACTTGGCTAGACTTGGCTAGATCCAGAGTCAGTGATTAAAACCAGTAGAAGTCTTTCTGTTGACTTCAACAGACCTTGGATGAGGCCCGTGATTCCACCCATCCATCCCCAGCACTGTGAGATATTTTCGATGAGTGGTGGGGGATAGGAAAGAAATCAAGAAAAAGGGATATGAAAGGAGTGGTTATGTCTGTGCCTTTCAAATGTTTTAAAGTCAAGGTCAAAGCTTACCTCACTCTGCACTGTTGTTGATGGATACCGTAAGCAGGCGGCAGTGTTTGCAGTGATGGAGAGTCCCGCTAACGAAATGCCATTTCTCCAGGGGCCGAAATAAATGGTGAGGCTGGTGGCAGTAGCTGGGTGTGTTGCTTCCCTAAGCAAGATGAAGCCCACTATTAAATGATTTGCTGCACGTGGCTCGCATACACTCAAAACCTATGTGCCAAATACAAGCTGGAGATACCTGAGATGAAGTAGAAGGCAGTTATGAAGTAGACTCTTTGCAAAGGAATTTTCAGTCTCTGATAGTCGGTTACATTGGATTATTCAACCTCTTTTTTGTCAGCGCAAATGAGATCATAACTCACATGTGCATGAGAGCGAATGAGTGGTTTAGATCTAAAAATGCACAGCTGCCTAACTTTGATTTATATTAAAGACAGACATAGAAATTATTAATTCCAGCATCTTGGGAATTACACGTAAGTAATAACAAAATTAGGCCAATTACACCTTAACCTCTGAGTGCACCAAGGTATGCGTGCAGTGCTGTTGTTTGATGGTGGGATGGTGAGATAAATGTCAGAATCAGGCTCCACGCCAAAGTCAAGCAATTTGTAGAAGGGGGATAACAATTTTGGTAACGACTAGCACCATATTAATTGTGAGATCTAATGGTTATCAGTAGACTTCAGGTCCCCAGAAACATCCTCGTGTTGTTGCACAATGTGATTTTTCTTCCTTTAGAATAAGTAGTGGATCCAATGTATTTTTTAAATTAAGGAAAAAATGCACCTGGATGTCCTGGCTCAAGATGTAGGGCAGGATTGATTCCTGATCGAGCGTGTGAATTTACTCTTTAGCTTTGCTGCCACAGTAAAGTGGCATCAACCTGCGTGGAGAGCACTTACTGAGGAGCATATGAATTTTTGCTAAAGTATCTGTGTTGGTCTTTTGTCCAAAGATAGTAAATGGATGAAAGTATTAGAAGTTTGCAATTGGGTTTGGTAGGATTTGACATTTCCTTCTTGCTGCTGACGTTCATTGCCTGGGGAGAGATGTAGAAAGAATGAAACAATGAACTTCTGATGAAATTTGAAGGGTTTTAAAAATAGGATAACATTAACTCAATCTTTTTTCTGTTCATATTAAGGAAAAAATTGAAGTTTATGACTCTGTGTAATTCGTGAAAGTCTTATTTTAGAACAAGGGACAGCATTTCCTCTGTTTCTCAGTGCAAGGTTGAATCTTGCTTTTTGGGGTATTTTGCCCATCCTGAAATGAGAGCTGAGCTCAGGAAAACTCGGAGGCGTCCATCCCTGCTGGAGGCTCTCCCAGCTTCCCACCTTTTGTGGAGGAGCATCACCAATGGTTCTTAAACCCTATTGATAGCAAGACACCTCAGCTACCTTTTGTTGATCTGCAACTGTCTTGCAGCAGGAAAACAGCCTTTTTCAGGACATTGCTCATACAAGCTTTTAAGAAGCAGCACCTGATCTTAAGTTACATCCATTTCTCTCCACATTGGTCTGAACCTTTCCATTTCGGAGCCAGTTACTGCTCTCACTGGTTCTTTATGTACCTCTTACCACAATGGGGGCTGAATGAGTTGGAAGTAGTGTTGTAATTTAAAATAATCACAGCTGTCAATGCATATGCCAATTTCTATTCTAACAGATCTTCTAGAGCTGCTACATACATAAATTGTAGGTTTTAAAGTTTCAAATGTATTCAGAGGCTGGGAAGAGCTTGGGGTGTAATTTATTTCTTAGGAAACATACTGATGGAGTGGCTCCAAAACGATGGAAGAAGCCTCGTCTCTGAAAAGAAAGCAGAACATTTTATATTGAGAGATGGTTGAAACAGTGTGTTTGTGCTCAAGGATTAAACCAGGATGCTTGTGACATAGCATGTAATGACTTGCATAACATGTAATGAAGAAATTGAAGCTGAGTCTCTGGGTGCATCATGCTGAGTAAGAGGCTTGTTCTACACGAAACTGTCATATTAAATTCTTGTCGTGATTCCAGACCCCTTTGATTCCTAAATCTTTTGGAGGAGTCTAATCTGAAATCAAAGTGAAGTTGCTTGGGGTTTGCATGCCAGAAGTGGTCACATTTGAAAAAGTTCAGTGAACCTGCAGAGGGAGGTTGAAATTAGTTGCTTTGCTACAAAGCTTTACAGCTAACATACCTGCTGATTTGCTTTTTGCTTTGATTCTTCGGGCTCTGCCTTCTTGCCACCTCCTGAGTCGTTTTCAAAATGCATAAGTCTTAAGGATGAGCATATCCTGCTTTCAGTCTGGACCAAAAGAATTAGTCAACACTGGTAAAACAAACATGAGCTTTAATACTGAGGACATGGGAAATCTGCATTTTTCTCTTCTGCCTTGTCCTTTGCGCAGTGATTTCCCCCTGTGAAGGTGTGTATCGCACTTCACTCTCCTGATTTACCAGCATTTGACCTCCCTTTGTACCAAGGTAAATGGAAATGGTTCCTATCAAGTTCTTCGAAGTAGATACTGGGGGCTCTTGCCTGGATCCCTGTAAGATGATTCTGCTCCTTTGAAAGCGCTGGAGCAATGCCAGGAATCCAGCCTGTTATCCCTGCTGAATGTCAGCTGCTTTCTCTAATTTGATGTTGGCATTTTTGGGGGGCTTTGACCAAGAATATCAAGCAATATTAGTGCAAATGAGAGCATTTCCAACAGTTAAATTCTGCCCTTCCGTATCCCCTCAAGCTTTGTGTAGGCTGCCGGGGACCCGGGGATGTGCTTTTTGTTCCAGTTAAAAGAAAAAGCCCTGGGTAGCCCATGGCCTGTGTATAACCACGCAGACAGCCCTGTGTGAAACCTGATGTTGTATTTACTTTATATTTACAGTGTTCTGTCTCCTGTGGAAGGGGCCAAAAGCACCGCAATGTGTACTGTTTGTCAAAGGAAGGGAGGCATGTAGAAGAAGATTATTGCAAGCACCTTGCTAAGCCCAATGTGCAAAAGAAATGCAGAGGGGGCAGATGTCCGAAGTGGAAAGCAGGAGATTGGGGACAGGTGAGCTGCGTTGTATACCCTTTTGCTGCACCCTTTGCTATACTTCCTCTGTCACATCGGATAGAAGCTGGCTTTTCCATCACTTCTCTCCTCTTGAATTTTTCAAGGGTAAAAGTTGTGGGCCAGATGCTGAGGTCGTGTAAAACAGTGTAGCTTCATGGATAGCAGTGGAGCAGCACTGATTTGTACCAGCTGAAAATAAGGCAACTTGCTTTTAGTGTCTATCTAAAAGCAAATTCCCTGTTGTATATTTTAAGTTTCTGTTAAAAAAGGCATTAGTATATAATATTAAAGAGAATCTACTCTTTATTAATGCTTTGAATATTGTTATTATTAAACTATGTCACATTCCAAGCAAAATCTTCCTTAGTTTTGAGAAATGTGAGATTAATTTTGTTATCCATTTCCTGGGAAAACCTAAGGAACAATCAGAGCTGTTCATTAGAAATGCTTTTCTCTACCTTTCGTTTCTTAACAAGCTCATGACTTGATTTTGCTTCATTAAAAAGTCAGACACTGATGCACAGAGCAGAGGCTGCTGGAAATGTGGAAGTGCTTGGAGTTATTAAGCATCTTGTTTGCTGAAAGCATACCTTGAATCCTTGTTTTCCTGAAAATAATGCCTTGAATCTGCTGCATCACATTTTTATCTCTGAACCTCGCTTTTCCCTCTACATTATTAGTGTGCTAATCAGCAGAATTATTGAAAATCCCAGAGTAAATGAACTGTTAACTTCTAAAACATTGTGTTCTCTTGCGGTCTGTCTTCCAACTTAAGGTACAAAACACCAGTTCTCACTGTATGTGAGTTCCTGGAAAGATAAACCATTTCTACCACTACAGGTACAAGTGCAAATGTTAGGACTAGGACAGCATACCCTTGTTTAATGTCAACTATTTTAAAAGACAATAAACCCACTGATGTTCTGTGATTGTTTTCAGACTTGGATTTTTTTTCAGTGCTTACCCTTGAATTCAGAGGGTTCCAGTATTTGCCGTTAGGTGTGGAAAGGGCTAAGCGTGCATTCCCCAGGGAGGTTCAGTTACTGAGGTCTGGGTCCTTTACCCAAAGTCTGGCAGGGAGCACCCAGGTAGCCCTGTGAAATGCACAGTACCGCTTCCATCTTGCCCATTAACACACTATTATTACCTTTATTTCCCTGCCAGACTGCAAAACCTCCATTTTGTACAGGAAACTATACTGAAAAGAAATTCTAGGCCATTAGATAGTCTTGTCAGATCTGATTTACACCTTATTTAAAGTGACTGCTCCTGAAAGCAATTTTTTACAGCTAATAATTGTAAACATAATGATGTAATGGTCTGTTGACTGTGTTAAAATACACTAATGTTAATTGATAAAAGTAAGTGTTAAAAAATTCCCAACATTCCACTGCATGAACGGAGTTAATTTTATGCAAGTGGAGAAAGAAAGCCAAGTTAATGGGAAGATGAGGTGATTTATGGCCTGAGGTAATCTCTTGTGACTAGGCAACTAAAGAATATTTGTGTGCTAATGATAAGACTAGGAATAGGCAGCACATTTCCAGTACTCGGAGTAGCTCCTCAGCCCAGATCCCCGTACGGATGCTGGACGTGCTCAGCTGGCTGGCATCTTGCTTGGGAAAGATACAGAGGGGTAGAAACACCCGTTCTGCACTATCAAACTGGGCTTTTTAAATCCACACGAAGTGCTGTGACGTGGCTTCCCTGTCCCCTGATCCTCCCTTGCACTGGCCACGTTTCTTTGCCCGCGGCAGATGACGAGTTGGGCTGTCACACGTCTGGAGCACCGGCCGCGGCCGTCCCTGCGAGATGCACAGGGCTTTGCAAAGGATGTAGTGCCTCAGAGCCAAGGGGGATTTAGGTGCTGAGCTCCCCACGCAGACTATACACCAGGCAGGGTTTGGCACTCGGGATGCCCAGCGGATCAGGTTCTAAATGAGCAGGGAAATTCCATGTCACCTTCCCCATCACCGGTGACTCTGTTGAAAATGGGGAGCCATGACCAGTTTGCATTAGATACTATCAAAATAAGCTTCCTGGAAGTCTAATTGCCTCTGAAAGATAATCCCAAAGCTGAGCTGCTGTGAGCTGGCCGCCTTTTGTCCTGGGTAAACCTGCAAAAGCCTGCGTGAGAAATAAGGCGAGGTTTTCCCATGAAAGTGCATCCTCCTCATCGCCGTACGTGCACAGGACCTGTTGCATGTGCCTTTAGGGTTCTTTTCCTTTGGGGAAAAGGAATGATTAAAAATTCAGGATTAAAAAATACAGGAATAGTTAAGAATTAATCCCAGGCGGCTGAGCCAAGTGCTTTGCTCCCAGTTTTTTTTGTCTCTGCATGTTTTCTATTCAGAGGTTGGGTAATTCTTTTCTAGTTTGTTATGAATCCACTTTCCTGCAGCAAAGCATTTTCAATATATCAGTAATAATCAGAAGGGAAGAAAAAAGGCTTTTTCTTGGAGTTTTAAATGTGCTTGTGTCTGCACTGAAATGTCAGCTTTAACGTGTTTGCACCTCCTAAGTAATATCAATTATGGCCATTTATCTTTCACTTAGCAAAAAACCCAAACTTTATTCTGCTCTATGCTATTTACATATTTCAGCTACAGGTTGAATTCCAGCCCTGTCTAAAAAAAACACAGGTTGGAGCTTCTGCATAGATGAGCTGACACCTGGCAGTTTGGTGATTGACTTTCTCAGTGGAGAAAGTAGCGCTCCTGGGAAAACATACAGACCCTGTAGAGAGGACAGACAGGCTGCCTGGCTCGTGGCATCCCACGGGGGGGATATATAACTACAGCAAAAGTTGGCTGCCCCAAAACTGAGTATTTTCTGGCAGTGTCAGTCCCCAAACCCGCTCTGCCCAGGTGTCACAGCCAGCACAGCCCCCTGTGAAAGAGCCATGGCACGACTCGCTCTCCCTTAGTAAAACTTGTGCTTCTTAGGCGGGTGATGAATGCAAACCAAAAGGGGTTGTAGAACATGCTACGCATCCTGGTGTGTACGTTTCTCCCAGTTTGTGGCCGTTACTCAGTTTAACTGTCCCCCATGGAATGCGTAGGACAAACAGCGCTGTTAATCACAGCGAGGCAGCGCAGCATATGGGAACCATTTGCATCGCCAGTGACAGAGATCAACTGCTACTTTCAAAAGTTACACACACCAGAAAAAAAAAACCAACACCCTCTTACAAATATCTGAAGCCAGGCAAATATGCAGAGTCAGCTTTTCTTTGGTCCTCTTGGCTTTATGGGACGTTTGGATAGTAAAGGGAACGGAGCATTACAGAACACTGCAGAAGAGGGAATTGCTTCCTCGTTAGGCAGCGCTTAATTCCCTGCCTCGAGAAGGCTCCCTGTTATGGGTATTGTAATAATGGCCTGTAAACTTGCTTTCTTAGTTCCTGATGTATTAATAAGGGTGCTTATATTAATCGTTAACTCAGCGAATGGCTAGTTGTAATGGCTATGTTTTAAATACAGACCTTTGATTTTTACACCCTTTCTTCTGTGAATGCAAATTCATTTTATTCCAAATCTATATCACATACTTTAGGATCTAGCAAGGAAGAATCCGTACCAGAGGGTCATTAAGTACTGTTAAACATATTGCAGCGCGCAGTCACAGCAATACGAAACGCTGCGTGAAAGAAAAAGCAAGCTGCTAAAAGCAGTGTAGTGTAGATAATAATTTGACGATGTCTGAGAAACAGAAATTCAGGCTTTTCTCGCCTCGCCTAGGCGTGGGGAGAAATGCTCCCGCGGTGTATAGTAGGAAATGTGAAATGCAGTTAATTTCCAAAAGACATTTATTTTCCCAAACTAACAGTATGCCCTGGCTTGTGTGCATGTTTAGGTGCATGCTGAAAGAAATCCCAGCTATACCTCTCTACTGCTACAGACTTTCTCCCATATAACTCAAGTTTGCTTTTCATTCAAGTCCACTCTAGTGACACTCGCGGCATTTGATATATTTGGAACTATTACTTTTTGTGAGCCAAGTGCCTGAGAAGCAATACACAGAGCCTTGCCACCTCCGGCATGTTGCGATGGTTTACCAGCGCCGCTATCTCCAGAGGTTTATGCAATATAAATTCCTGTCCGGGAAATCCTCCCCCCACTGAAGCCAATGGCAAAAAATTCCCGCTGGCTTCAGCGGAGCAGGGATTTCAGCCTGTTTGCTCTGCCCTTGGAAATTTTTTCCCTCGTGCAATGAAAGCCTCACCTGGGAGTTTAAAGCCGGTAGCGGAGCATGGCCATCGCTGCTGTTGAGCGCGGAGCAGAGGGCGAGCCCCGGGATCTTACCGCGACAGGGACCACAGCTCACCTTTTGTTCTTTCCTCCAGTGCTCCGTGTCCTGCGGCCGGGGCGTCCAGCGCCGCACCGTGCACTGCCACGGCGGCACCCCGAAG